CAGGCATAACAAATGTCTTGAATAAATGTAGACTCAATATGCTATATTATCTCTTACAGAAATTGAAGAAACAGTTGATTGTATTTTTACAGAAACTAATTTTTGTCTAATGCGACTATTGAAAATGTCATCTTAATAACTTTTTTTACTGCTAATGATGCATCAAATTTGCATTAAAATAGGCTAAAACATGACATCTCATGGATGTTTTGTGTGCCTATGATTTGGAGTTATGGCCACAAGACAACCAGTTCAGTCTGTTAAGTTTGATGGACTATATCTTCATAACTGAGAAGAACATAACAGTTCCAAGAACCACTTTCTGAGATTATTATTTTGAAAGGTAACAGTGGGGGGAAAAAAACATCGAAAAAATGAACAGCGAGAAATGGCGAATCTCTCAAACAACACTCCAAAACTGTGTTCTTGAGAAAATAGTGGTAACTTAATATCCTAAGCAAATATGGAGAGAAAAATTACAAGATCATATTCTATTATATCCCAGCTAAGTAACTGACAGAGAGTGCCCTAATCACTATTTCTCCCTTAACTATCTTAACAGTCCATTATCTACCCTAAATGTCACACATACTAACACAAATTCACTACTAATTAATTTTATAAACATGCTTGTCATTGTCATGGAAGTCTTGACTTTTTCACCACCAGACTTTCTAGCCCAAATTTTTCTGCTTTTTTCCCCCGGATATTCTCCATATTTCTGGAAACTAAACCCTGATTTTGGAGCCAACAGACAAAAATTGAGTTAATTTCCATTTTTTACTCAAAAAATGTTGCTATTTTTTGCCCAAAATTCTGAAGGAGAGTGCAGACTATAAATGGGACTATTTTGTGAATGTGATAAAAAGAATGAAGTGGTGGTAAAAAGGTTAAAGTAAACTATTTGAAATTATTGCCAGTATAAAAACAACAATATGCCCCCATAAAATACCAGGATGTGCAACCTTTCAGCCAAGTACGAGGTTCTAAAATTTACTTTATTCATAGTGATAATGAAATACGTACATTTTGACTTTCTCAAGATACTCTGCATCTTCTGTCCAGCTCATCAATTCAACTTTTCTGTTGATCCCCCCTAAAACACAAAATACATAGGTTATTAAAGACAAATAGTTTGGGTTTAATAACATTGTACTGTAGAATACTTTATTTTCGATTGGAATTTATTTTCGCTATTTTCGCTGAAGGGATGATTCCATGAAAATAAAATCCAGCGAATATACTTTTTTTCCTATATTTCACATTAAACTCATGAAAAATCAGTGAAAATAAATTCCAAGCAAAACGCCCAAAGAGCCTTTTCAGCGAAAATTAATTCCAGCGAAAATAAAGTATTCCACAGTATAACAATTGTAATATATTGCGCAAATACAGTCTCAAAGTGTTAAAACAAAATACTGTAGTTGCTCTGTTAGTAGCGTGCAAATGAGGTATCTCTATGATCAAAATATTATTTGGAACCAAGCCATTCCAAAACTGACTCGTACGCAAGACCCACTCACAGCTCTCCAGACTGATACACTAGTGTATTATTCATAGATTTCATGAAATCTGACAATATGATATTAGATGACATCTAGTCAATATATAAGCCTTATTTTAATGATGCAACATACAATGAATCCAATATTTGGTTTATGTGCGCTACTATCAGAGAACAAATTCGGTAACAATGCAATATTACAGAATCAAACAATGAAAACATTGTCAACTCTTAAACATTTTCTACATGGACACATATTTTTTTTTTTTTTTTTTTTTTATTTATTAACACACAACATCCCCCGGAGGGGATGAAAAGGGTTACAAAACAAATATTAGTAAAAGAAAAATAACTATATAAAAAGTAACGGAACAAAAAAGCATTAAAAAAAAAGAAAGATTAAATTTGTATACGAGGAATGTGTTACTGGCTTAGTTTATTTAGGTGCTGCTGTCTTGTATTAAAACAGTTTTTTAAATATTGTGCTAAAGGAATTGACATTTTCTCGTTACTTAGTAATGATATGAATTTATTTTCATTACTAAATTTGTCAAAAATGGACACAGATTACACAGGTGCTTATCATATATCAATAAAACATGAAATTAACTTATCATCCAATGTCCTTCATTTTATGTTAATTTAACGTTTGGATCGTTTATCTGAACAATCAATTAACGGAACAAATACATCACCGCCCACTGTGTTTGGATAATCATGGTTTGACTGTACTCACTTTTAGCAAAGCCATCATGGGGGTAAATATGTCTATTATAAACATCCATAGTATACACTCTATCATCTTCCATGAAATCTCGTTCATGTCCATTTCCCTGGTGTGCGTCTAAATCTACAATCATTGCTTTTTTGGTCTTGGGATCTCTGTCAAATAAAAACTGCGAAAGAGGAGTAACATTTAAATTAGATAGTAAATAAAATACAACATGAACATTCAGTGGCTTACAGTCACTCACAAGGCCTAGAATCCCCCAGTTTTACCACACAAAAGTTTTAGCTTTGAAATCTGGTACGCACAGAATACAGAAGAGTTGCTTTTTAAAACTGATTGAAAATTATTCAACTCAGTTATGTAGATAAATGACCATACCTTGATTGCTAGCGATATATCTGCGTATGCACAGAAGCCCCCTCCTCTGTCTCCTGAACAGTGGTGAAAGCCACCGCCGATATTAATAGCCCATCCTCTTTCAATGGCTAACTTAGCTGCCTGGAATACAAATGAAATACCAGTTACATCGCAGAAGACCGTATTTCCTATAATTAATTACTGTAAACTAAATTTGATAGACCGAGACAAACATGGAAGATTTCATTGCGATCTTTGATGTCAGTGATTTCTACACAATTTGATTCCAATGTATGCTGTTAGATTATCAAAACTCAAAATTAATAGCACTGACTAGAGAATATTATATAGGCAATAACGAAATCATTTTTTACTTAAAAAAAAATAGTGATTGAAACCTGTTAAACAAAAATATATTTTTATGGGGCCTTGCATAGCAAAATGTGTTCTATGTAAACCTTTTACAGAGCATTGCCTACTAGTAGAACTACTGACTACAAATTATCTTTTGAATTCCAGGGGTTTTCCTAACTTGCTATGTGGTAGGACTTGTTTCATTTCCACAGGAAGCATAGTTTTATGAAATTTGCAATTTCTATTTAACAACAATTTGGCATACAAATCCTTTTCATTTTGAATAAATAGATTATTATGTGAATTACTACATTGACTGTGCATATTAATACGTCACGTTATGCTTTTATTCACTTTATTTACATTTTCACCACCCTCTCAGATAATGATACGGTCCAAATCAAGCATACACGCAAGCCGTTCATGCAAGCGTACGTGCCAAGGTTTTTGCAAATCAGTTAGCTAGTTTGCTAATTAGGTAACCATTTGATAGCCATCTTGCAAACTGTAGTTCCGAACACACGTGCCCCACATGTAATAGAGCTAATGACGATATAGGCAATAAAAGATATATATATATCCTATGGGACAATGTCTGAATACTTACAAGAATGGTGCCACCTGTTTGAATTCGGAAAGGTTTAAGAACTTTCCTTTGTACTATAAAGTTTGGTAGAAATGCCACTGGGGGTACCTCTGTAATAGTAGCAACGTTCACACTCCACTGTAATATAAGCAGAGAGAGAGGGGGAGAGAGAGAGAAAATAAGTAAATGATTCAACCACAACATGCTGCACTTCTAATAGTATCCCTAGAGAATATAAATAATGGTACAAGTCATGAGGGACTCGTGTTTTAATCTTGTGTTTGAAAACAGCTCAAACATTTTTTTTTTATTCTGATTCTGAATATAATGAAAGAAAAAACAGATAAATTCGGTGGTTGTTGCACATTTTCAGATCACAAATTTAACAGTCAAAATGAATGTAATCAATGTCACATAGTTATTGGGTTTTTTAGCGCGTCTGAATCAAATAATCAATTTCATTCCCTATATATTTAATGAGAAACATGGCTTCACAATGACAAAAGCCTATTTGATTGAAAAACTAACAGAAGTAATTCTCGAAGCCCAAAACACTGATGAGATGAGATGCATAACCTTAATACATACATGTATACAACATCCACAAATAGATACACATCAAGAATACGAGATCATACACTGATTATTTTGCTAGACACAATAATAAAATTAAATGCATAATTTCCCAGTAGAGAAAAAAGTCTGAACCAATCTGACATTATTAATATTAAAGGTACATGCACTTTATACATGAACATTACACGTAAAAAAAAAACTTGTCATATACGTAACCATGCAAAGGAAAGATAGAGGAAAGACAGAAAGGAGCTGAATAGATGAATGAAATCAATTATGATAAAGCAGATAAACATTGTTATAAGCATTTTACAGAAATAGCTCTACCTCAGGCATTTTTTCCACAAAGTTGGATTGCTGCAAAAGAAAAATATAAGAGAGAAAAAGAAAAAAAAAACATAGGAAAAAAGATGTGTGAGGTTTTCAATGTAACAATGCCGATGAAAGGCATGATGCTGATAAGCTGGGTATCAGAGTAGTCATGTTTATAACATTGATACCTAATTAGTAATCAAAGACATAAGCTCACGAAGAGTCCTGGCTACAAATCTAAGTCAACACGTTAAGGATCAACAAACTTTCATTTTTTCAACATAAAGAGTTAGTTATTTTCTGTCATTACTCTATGTTACCCAATTATTTAATAGCACCATCGCAAGCTATCAGGTTTATCAACCTTGCCTATCACAGTAAACATAAAGGTGTTCCTTGAGCCTCATTTTCACAAAATTTAATTGACGAGGAGCTAAAGTGTGGAATTGGACAATCTGCAGAAACACTCTTTTTAATTTAAAAAATTTTTATTCAGACATACTTGCTTCATGAACTCAAATCACAACACTTGTCAGTGCCAAATTTGCTTACGGAGGAACACATTACAGATGAAAATACCTAAAACAGGCCTTAACTATTGTCAGAAATGTTGTCATTAATTTATGGGCTGTCAATGTTTTTTAAATTGGTTTATATTAAAGACTTAACGTTTACAAATATGACAGAGTGATGGTGATGCAGATATCATTATACTGGTAATCAAAGTAGATCAAAGTCACATTAAAATTTCTGAATATAATTTTCACATCATGTCTAAAACACAACTCAATCCAGATGCTGTCCTATTTACAAATTAAACATGCACATCCCATTTATTGAAGGCTGTCCAAAATGATGCCAACTTAAAAAACATTAAACAATAAATGCAATTAGAGGTTAAATGAGATAAAAATTAGATCATTCACGTTGGAGTAAAAGTAATTTGGAATCTAATTTCGTAAATAGTAAATGAGTTGATGTTTTGGGAGTTGACGATATGTGCAAAATGACAAATTTAAAAAATAAATAAAAGTATGAAATGAAAATGAGATGCATTGTACCGCAAAACAGAGATGTGAAAATTAGGAAAGAAGTAGCAATCTTTACATGCATTATTAAGCACTTACATGCACACGTCCCCCTCACCCTCATTTATTGATTTATAAATATTTAATATTCAGTAGCCCAGTACAAATGTATTGTACTTTATACTACTGTTACAATTTACGCTAGAAATACAGTAGAGATCTGGTCAGCCTAGTCTCCTACACTAAAAATACCTTCAAGGACAGCAGGGTAGCTTATCAATCATAATAATTCAGACAAAAAATTTCAATTTAATAGTTTGCATCTGCGATAAAGTGCAATTCTGATTTCAATAACAGTTTTATTTGTGATAGATGAATCGGGCCCCCACCCCTTCCAGAGTTGACAGTGTTAAACTGAATCTATTGTGAAGGGAATACATAAACTGAATGAAATTATCGTTCTACAGAACAAGTCTAGTAGAGCACTTAATGTCAGTCAGTGAGTGAAAACAGAAATCTAGAGTTTTTTCGGTATTGAAATATTTATAGCTGCCTACAAAATAATACATGTCCGAGTATTAAGACTCTTTGAATTCCCAAAATCTCACCTCCCACAAAATTAAATCTGTTTAACTGTTTCCAGTCAAAAATTACGTCCAAAAATTAACAAGAAAATGTGCAAAATATTGTACAAAGCTTTTGTTCAAAAAAATAACAGCATACAATTAGGTTGCAAGGTGTATCACATTGTTACACAAATTTAAAATCTGCATCTTATTTATGTTTAAGACCACAGTATATTCAGTGTAAAAACACAGACCCCTGTATTTGTACCATACACACATGCAGCAATACTGTTAATACATGTTTAAGTACTAGTATAGTAATCACTGTGATAGGCGGAGAGACGCAGTAGCGGATCGAAGAACCCCCTCCCCCCATAAAAAATACTGTATCCGCTCTTGAGACGGGTCCTAAACTTGTACTTGAGCTTGTACTCTAAGTGGCAAATTCACCTAATAAATGACGAACTGGTCATACGGTAATTTCTTTTGGTGGAGCCAGGTCATTTTCAAGAACCCATCCACCTCTAATAGGGAAAATACAATACATTTTCGAACTATTTGGACAACCTTGTCGACTGTCTGTTGAAAAATAGTTCAAAACTCACTTGCAAAATGATTGAACCATAATAGCAGCATGTAAGATACTGAGATATATACAAACACTACTACTTCACTACTGCTCGGGTAAGCACCCTCCCCTCAGTTGAGGACCCTGGGCGCTGACATGGTCCAGTATGGTATATACAAACACTACTACTTCACTACTGCTCGGGTAAGCACCCTCCCCTCAGTTGAGGACCCTGGGCGCTAACATGGTCCAGTATGGTATATACAAACACTACTACTTCACTACTGCTCGGGTAAGCACCCTCCCCTCAGTTGAGGACCCTGGGCGCTAACATGGTCCAGTATGGTATATACAAACACTACTACTTCACTACTGCTCGGGTAAGCACCCTCCCCTCAGTTGAGGACCCTGGGCGCTAACATGGTCCAGTATGGTATATACAAACACTACTACTTCACTACTGCTCGGGTAAGCACCCTCCCCTCAGTTGAGAACCCTGGGCGCTAACATGATCCAGTATGGTATATACAAACACTACTACTTCACAGTTACCGCTGACATACATATTATTGTGGAATATCACACATACTGAGATATATACATCAAGTAAACACAAAATAGATCAAGCACATTGCCAATTTATTCATGTCAGTCTTACCTTTAAACTATCTAGATATCTTTTAGTATGTATCACTGATAAGTCTTTTTCGCCTGCTTCTCTGGGGGCAATAATAGTATCATCTCGTAACATACCATCTTCTGTTTGATGACAAATACACAAAACATTGTTTGTAAAAAATATTACAGGTGTAATTTTAAACATTTATGCAACACTTAATTTATCACATGAGGTTTCATTTTTGAAATTTGAATAATATTAAAATATAAAAAAAATGACAATCACGAAATACCAGAAACTATAAATCCTTTGTTTTGTCTGAACGGCTTCGGTTAGAAATCAAATTAACATTTGGTTTGAGATGAAAAAATATTTTAATTTAATTTCTAATCTATGCATGAAATGTAAGACAATATATATAAAGAGGGCAATCAAAAATGTAATTAAAAGATAATGATTAATTTAAATAATAATGCAATATACTAGCTGTAAGTTATTATGTTCCTTATAAAACAGAAATATTGTATTTTCTCTACTAGTATTATATGCGCTTGTTTTCATTCTAGGTGTTTCTAACAGGAAAACTAGTCAGATTTGTGGTTTTATATGCACTTCTATTGAAGACGTACTTCTAATAGAGTAAATATGGTACAAATGATATTGTAAAACATGTTGAAAAAGCGGCATGCAATTTTAGCAAATTGTGGCAAAATGAGGTAATAGCGAAATGTTGATTTAGCGAATCTCTCTTGTCATTGTTGATTACTTTGTTTGGCGGCGAATTTTAATTGATAATAAAGTCATTAGCGACATCTTGAATTAGCGAATCAGTTCTCTCGCTAAATTCGCAAAAAAGACATACTCGCGAAAACGATATGTTTTACAGTATACACATTAAACATTGCAGTAAAAATGCCAAATGCCGTAAAATCTGTATTAGCAGCTGCATCCCTAATAGAAGTCGCACCCATTCGTTTTGAACAATTGAGAAGCAAACATTCACCATTTTTCATATGTGTACATGCTCTAATAGAAGCCGCATCCCCTCTGTTGCATTGTACCATTTTAATAGAAGCCGTAGCTTCTAATACAGATTTTACACTACTACAAAATTGGCTCCATTAGAAGCCAATCTCCAACTGGGTGCATATAAAGCAAAAATTACAAAATCATTAAAATATTATTTTTTAGAGCACAGAAACATTAATTTTTTTCATGTATTAAAATAAGAGACCAGAAATAGCAGGAAAGTGATTGCAAATGAGAAAATACATGTACTGCATGGAAACAATAAAAGATTATTTTATAGTATTGTAAACCATTAGGAAAAGATTAATCATATCTCTACACATGTAATTATAGGATATAATAGATATATATAGTCTGTTTTTCCTTTATTATAAATGTTATATTACCGGTATTTCAAAAAGATAAATTGATAATAATCTGCTACAATTATAAATAGGTTACACAATGAAACAAAACATGAGCTTGCCATTAATCTTGCACACAGGAAATAAACAGGAACAAATCAAAACTGTTATTATCGGTATATAGATATCAATTATTCATTTAGTGATGAGATACTGAGTCAAGGGAAAAACTATGAAAGTTGATGTGTATTTATACAAATTCACAGTGGAAAAATCCTAATTAAACATAGATGTGGCCACGTTTTCTTGGTAAAATCATGATTGAGTTTGAATTTATCAGTGTATGTTACTCGTTCAAAATTACCAGGTACACCTCACATGATGCGAGCATTTTTTTTGTATTGTAGGAGAGGTGCGAATATTTGAGTGGGAGGGAATGTAGCAATTTTTGAATAATCAAAAATACTGTTGTTAATATACAAGTAGCCTATCGGCTGAGATAGCTCCTCTGTTAGAAATGCACATTTCAATTAAAGAACTGAAGACATCATCAGAAATGAACA